GATTTTAAAATTGAAAAACCTGTACAGACACCAGGCCGATGTGAGCCCATGTCTCGATATATCTGTTTGATAACCAAGGATCCACTTGAGCATGTAAAGAAGGATTGCAGCTGGGATGACAATGATGTAGTGATTCCTTCCCCAGAAGAGGACATTACTACCTATAAAGCGGGGTACTTAAGCGTGTACACCTACCCATTCACGCTGGGCCCAGCAAATCCAGCTCTGGGTCCCATAGACCTAGTTATTCTCGACTTTTTCCAATGATACCAAGTAACGCTTGGCCAGATCTACCCTTCATTCTGGCGGATTGTTCATCTGATTAGATTTTTCTCGAGCCAGGTTGAGAGGATGCCTTTCACCTCGACCATCTAATCAGGCTGTACAAACCTCGACTATACCGAGGTGGTTTGATAAAATTGCAGTGCTTATCCTTGAAATCTCTATTCTCCAGCATCGATGAGGACAAAGACCGAGGGTTGATGAGCCATTTTGTCTAAGTCGGGACCTCTGACCTGATTACTGATGAGAGGATGCCATTCCCTGAGGAATGGATTATGAAACGTAAATAACTTTATACCCTGCTTCCCTTTTGCTTTTTTGGTTTTGTCTTTTTATCGATATAATCCCTATCTGATGGTGCAACTGTCGATTGGTTTCCTGGAGCGGTCCAGGACCTCGAGGGTTGGGTCCGCCAACTGGCCTCTACTTCTTCATATGCGGAGCGTTGCTGGCGCAATTTAGCCAATGGCCGATGGGAGGCAAAAAACCACGGTGAGTTTTCTTGTTTACTTACTTGTGTTCCTTAATGCAATACTTACTTCATCTTTTATGCAGGTCTTGAGGAAGCTGTCGAAATACGGCTGCCCTCACTTGGTGAAGAAGATATCTCAAAGCCTCCCAAAAAATAGAAAAGAAAGAGGGGGTCGTCTGCAAATACCCCGAGGCAAAAGAAAAGCAAAGCTCAAAAGCCCAAGGCTGACACCGTGGCCCTATCTCATAAAATGGCTCAACGCCTTCGGGACCAGAAGGAACAAGAAGAGGATGATGATTGCCTCTTGGTAGCTCAATAAAGAGGAAGCTCTGACGCTCCGAAGACCGATGAACCAATGGTGACAGAGGCAGTTCAATATCGAACCAAAGAAATTTCAGAGGGGAGCTCGAGCAAAGTCCTCGAACCATCAGGCAGAAAAGGCATACCTTGTCCCGGGGGGCGTTTGGTGAATGAGCTCAAAGAGCCTAACTCCGAGGCTTTTCAAAGACAGGATAATACCCCAAGTGAGTCACTTGGGGTAATCAACATAGATGACTCATCGCAGGGCCCAGTGTTTTCTGAAGGGCAACTCCGAGATGCCCAGGATATGGAAACTCCTGATATTGTAGCGACTTATGAAGAGAACGATATTTTCAGGAGTGTCTTACGGGAATTGAAGAAGGTCCCAATCCCGATTCCTTGTTTATTCTTGAGGAAGCTGAGAAGCTCCTCAAACAAGTAAGTTTTGTCTTTCATTATTTCGGGTTTAATCTCTATCTTTCTGATTTTGACCTCCTTTTCTTGTGAGAAGGACGTGTTGCTTCACCGATGAGCATTTTTCAAATCTCGGACTGAGCTTGCCCGATGTGAAGCTGAGTTTAAGAAAGTCTCGAAAGAGGGGAAGATCGGCGATCTACGAGTTGAATTGACGAAGGCTTTCCATGAACAGGCCGAGTTCATTGAAAAGGTAATATAGTCTTCGAGGATCTGTAATGTACTTGTTTGTTTTGACAACTAATACTTTTAATTTTGCAGTTTCATCAGAAGGGAGAATTGGTGTTGTAGCTTCGGGAGTAGCTTAAGATGAAGGAGGCCGAGACCTTGGGGTGGAGGCAAGGCATGGACAATTTTATCTTTGAGAAGGAAACCCTTCGAGGGCAGTTGGCTTCACTCGAACTCCAGCTTCAAAGTGTGAATGAGGAGAGCCTATCTCGAGGCCGCAAAATCGAGGAGCTTAAAGCTATATCCGCTGCTGAGCTGGCCAAGGCCAAATCTGATGCTGAGGCAATTATGTCTTCGTACCAAGCCAATGCTGAAGCAGCTAATGCTCGGGCAAATGAGATCTTTTCTGCTGTAGAAGTCAAGCTATCAATTGCACTTGACCATGCTAGGTAACAATCACGGAGGCTAACCCTCGAGGAGGTACATGCTCGCGGCTTCGATCTCTCAGCCGATATTGAAAGGGCAAAGATTTTGGAAGAAAAGGCTACCGCTCTGCTTTCTGATGAGGATAATTCAGCTAGTGGCTCCGAGAGTGGAGGAGGCGAAGATGAAGTCCCCGAGGGTGAGGCTCTCGAAGGTGCGGCTCCTGAAGATGCAGCAGCCGAAGATATGACTCCGAAGTAGTTTTGGGTTTCCTTATTTTGTTTTTGTGAAAGTCTCCCTTGTGTAAATATCTCATGTAATCATCTTTTGGAAATACAAGGGGAACGTTTTATCTCACCTTTGGTTTACGTTGGATTTAATATTGTCTTTATTTATGGAATACTTTATTTTAATGATTAGTTCGAGAATTGGTTTGGGCTCGAGATATAATAAACCATTAGATCTTTATCGATAGATATAATAATCCTCGAGCTAAGTTTAAATCGATCCGATGTAAGCTCGGGGTATCGTGACTCTTGAGTCCGAATCGAAATGAGAGCGGAGTCTCGAACTATAAGTCTTTGGCCCATAAACATTTCGAAGTTGGTCCTTGGGCTCTTATATATCGGCCCTTAGGCTCTTTGAGTTGGCCCTTAGGCTCTTTATATTAGGCCAATTTGGCCTCTAGAATGGCTATATAATTTTTCCCTCATTTTGGCTAAAAGACTTAGTGAAAGTTTAGATATGCCCTAGCATATGCTTTTTTGTACCCGTTGGGTTTTTTGAAGGTTTGGCGTATCGAGAACTTGTTTGTGTACGAATAATCGAGTATCTCTTGAGGTTTTATCGAGGGCTGATGTTATCGAAGCCTCTAAATTACTCGAGGGCTGAATTTATTGAAGCCCATTAAATTGTTCGAGGGCTGAATTTATCGAAGCCTATTAAATTATTCGGGGGCTGAATTTATTGAAGCCCATTATCTTTTGCTTTTGCTGAGGGTAGCCTGATTTAACCGATTTTTGCAAAGTGTTTTAAGGCATTTAATTTATAGCGGAAGTCAGACGTCTTCGAGCCGCATTATTTTGGCCGTAGCCTTTTTATATGACTGTGGTCTTTTAATATGGTTGTTGCCTTTAGGTATGTTATTTGGACTTGTTTCCAGATAACCTTTCAAACTTGTCCAAAAAGTTAGTCCCCGAGTATATTGGGCTTGGACTTTATTTCGAGGGGTGCCCCTTTGAGGTCTTATGAGTCCGAGTTTTCGATGATTCGGATGTACCGACTGTCGATGACAGTCCCCGAGTGTTCGGGGGTGCTTTTATGCTTTTGGCTCTTGAGTCGTTTCCCGTAGGATTATAAGTGTAGAGCTCGTATAATAGTAAACTTTTTGGAGATACAAAGTGTTTTTGATACTAACAGAAGGCTTCTTCAAATGATTGATACATGCGTACATGCTTTGCCGTCGAGGCTCGATTATTCTATATGGGCACGGTTCATCTGACCGTTTGGCCCATTACAAAGTTTTCCTATCAAGACCCTCTTTGGCGTGAAGTATTTTCCTTGAAAATATAACCTCCGAGGGTGATGCCCCCAGTATTCGAGGATTGTTAAAGATAAGCCTCGGATACTGTTGAGTTCTTCTTAGGTAGCACGTAGTTGTTGCCTCGTTAAAAACCTTGTTGGTAAAACCCATTTGGGACAAAATCCGATTTAAGGGAAAAAGAGTGCAACACATGCTTTAAAACCTAAGATCTTTGAGTAAATGATGATGCATTCGAGATCGTATGCCTTCGATAGCTTCGATCGAAAATCTATAAATGAGTTAGTTTTAAACTTAAATTGACAAAAAGATAAAATCATACCTGAGAAGTAGTATCGTTTGAGTAATGATATGTTCCAATTGTTTGGTAGTTGTTCACTTTCCATTGTGCTAAGTTTGTAAGGTCCTTTACCGACAACTCCGGGGACTCGGTACGGTCCTTCCCAGTTCGGGCCCAGTTTCCCTTCATTTGGGTCTCGAGTATCGAGGGAGACTTTTCGAACAAGTGCTGCTTCTCGTCTTTCATCTACCTTCAGGGTGTGAAGCAAAGGCGGGCTCAGCGGATATCGCTTCAATTCTTCTAAGGCTTGTTGATATTTCGGGGTCCACGCAAAGTCTTTTTTCTTTTTGGGCAAAGAGAAGAGCTGGTGACTCCGATCCAACGACCTTGAAATGAATAGACCCAAGGCAACTATTTGCCCTGTTAGCCTTTGCTGGGCTTCCACACTATCCACGATTGTGATACCCTCCATAGCCTTGATTTCGGTACCTCAGTTTGACGCCATGAAGTCGAGGGACTTATCCGAGTCAACCTCGAAGGCACATTTCTCCGGGCTAAGCTTCATTTTGTATTTCCTCAAGATCACAAATGTTTCCTGCAAATGAACTAAATGGTCCTCTGTGCACAGGGACTTAACCAACATATCATTAATACAAATTTCGATTATTTTGCCTATTCGTTCTTCGAACATTTTGTTAACTAGGCATTGGTATGTAGCTCCTATATTTTTTCAGCCCGTAAGGCATCACGTTGTAACAATAGGTTCCCAATTTAATAATAATCGCAGTCTTTTCCTGGTCCTCCGGGTTCATCTGAATCGGATTGTACCCGGAGTAGTCATTGAGAAAAGTTAGGGTCTTGTGGCCAGCTGTGGTATTGATCATGCGATCGACGCTTGACAAGGGGAAATAGTCTTTTGGACATGTTCTATCCAAGTCCTTATAATCTATGCACATTCTAAGTTTGTTTCCCTTTTTAAGAACCATGTTGGTTAACCTCTCGGGGTACTTTACCTCCCGATTAGATCCTATTTTAAGAAGTTTGGTTACCTGTTGTGATGGCTATTTAGACGCTTGCTTACCTTTGGTGCTCGATTTTTCCGAGGTCAAGGGCTCTGGTATCGGTACCACTTCCTCTATCGCAAACATCTCTTTTGCAGTATGTTGCTCTTTCACTCCTTCCTCCGTTAGGAAATTCATCATTTCTTGAAGAGTTGAAGGCACTGCCCTCATGTTGTGTATCCACGGTCTTCCGAGGCGTGCGTTATACCTTATGTCAGCTTCGATGACATGGAACTTCGTATCTTGTATGGTTCCGGCTGCGTTTACTGGCAAGATGATTTCTCTCTTTGTTGTTTCGCTTGCCATGTTAAAGCCATTTAGTACTTGGGATGCAGGTACAATCTGATCTTGCAGGCCGAGTTGTTCCATGACCCTCGATCTGATTATATTTTCTGAGATACCTAGATCCACTAAAACTCGTTTAATTTGAATTTTATTTAAAAGGATAGAGATTACCAGGGCGTCGTTATGAGGATGAGATATGCCTTCTGCTTCCTCGTCATAAAATGATAAGGTGTCCTCGGGCACATAACTTCGAGTCCATTTTTCTCTTGTAATTGATACCTTGGTGCATTTGAATATAGGTTGTTGGGGGACATCGACTTCGCCAACGATCATGAGGATTAAGAGTTGTGGTTTTTCTTGCTCATTTTCCTTGCATCTCTTTCTCTGAGGTGATTCTTAGCCCGATCACTTAGGAATTATAGAAGGTGGCCCTCGTTAAACAAACGAGCCACTTCTTCCCTCAACTGTCTGCAATCTTCTGTTCGATGACCATGTGTGCCATGATACTTGCACATCAAATTCGGGTTCCTTTGAGAAGGATCGGTCTGTATTGACCTGAGCCACTTGGTGTCTTTGATTCTCCCAATAGTTGAGACAATCCCCGACGCATCTATGCTGAAGTTATATTCTGATAATCAAGGAGCCTCTGCGGGGTCGGTATGTTTATTGAACCCACTCTTAGTCATGATTCTATGAGAACTTCGACCTCTATCGTTTCTCTGATCGTTCCTAGGAGTGTTACGGCTCGGGCCGTTGTTTCTTCGTTCCGCATATGGTTGCTACCCTTTTTTGTTGAATCTCGATTCCCGGTCTGTGTCCCTCGGGGGCTTAGCTGTGAATCTGTTAGGATGAACTGAACCCGAGGGAGCTCCCAATTGGTCGTCCTCGACCCTAATTTTTTACTGGTAGTGATTGTGCACATCCGACCATGTCACAACTGGATATTCGATCAAGTTCTGCTTCAACTGCCGAGACACAATCGAGCTCCTTTCATTCAGACCCCGCATAAAGGCCTGTACTACCCAGTCATCGGAGACAGGTGATAATTATATTCTTTCCATCTGAAAACGAGTCACGAACTCCCTTAGTATCTCGTCGTTCCTTTGCTTTATTTTGAAGACATCCGATTTTCTCGTGGCTACCTTTATGGCCCCAACATGTGCTTTCACAAGGGCATCTACTAGCATATCAAATGAATCAATAGAGTTAGGAGCTAAGTTGTGATACCAAATCATGGCTCCCTTTGATAGTGTTTCCCCAAATATTTTCAACAAAACTGACTCGATTTCATCGTCATTCAAGTCATTTCCTTTAATCCCACAAGTGTACGAAGTTATATGCCCGTTAGGGTCGGCTATCCTGTTATATTTGGGTATATTGGGCATGCAAAACTTCATGGGAATGGGCATCGGAGAAGCACTCGGGGGGAATGGGTTTTTATGAACTTTTTGGCGTCTAGACCTTTCAAAACTAGAGGTGCCCCCGGTATCTGGTCTACCCGGGAGTTACAAGTTTTCAACTTCTTGTTATTGTCTTCAATTTTCCTCGAGCATTCTCATAATCGTGGGGTTAGTCCCCGGGTCATTTTCATCGGTCCTTTCCAATGCTAGTTCAGTATGCCGACTGTTTACTAGTTCGGCTGTGTTTGGAGTTCTATTCTGACTCTGAAGTTCAGCGATGGCGATTTGCTGAGCCTGTAGCATCTCGAATATCACTTGGATGCTGACTCCCCCTTTCTTCTATTCCTTGTATTCTTTGGCCACCGGGCCGGGCTTCTCTATATATATTTCCTTTGGGGTCCGCACCTAGATGTGCATTCAAAGCAATATGAGAACTAACATCCACATGTTCCACATTTGGCACTTCCCCTGGGTTTATCGGTAGTACACCAACTCCTGTGTTCCTGTTTTCCCCAAGACCTTCGTTGTCATGAATGGGTGTGTTTTGTGAGCTAGACATGTTTCAGCCTGAGAATCAAAAAATCTTTGACAAGAAAAAGTATAAAGATAACTTGTGTAACAAGAATCAGTAAGAAAATAATCACTATTATCTTTAGCCCCACGGTGGGCGCCAAACTGTTTACCTCGAAAATGCGAGTAACAATTAAATTTGATTAGTGATTTTAAAGATACGTGATTTGGTTCAATACCAATTAATAATCAAAAGATATGGGGTAGAGATGAAAGATAGAAGTGAATCAAACTAATATTACTTAGCAGCTGTGACCCCGAGCTTAGTGACCTCGACGTGGTTTAGGGCAGTGGGAACAATTAAGTAATAAAAATATCGTAAGAACAATGGAGCTAAAGGACAATGCTGATGAACAATAGGCGTAAAAGGAAAGAGTATATTCTTTTCTCAGTGATGATAAGATGTCTTACAAATAATTAGAGTCCCCTTTATATAATAGGGGAGCCCTAAATAAGGAATATTTCTATTTACAGTAAGGAATATTGTTGGTACAGTTGTCTAACCGCCTAGTACGGAATCGTGCAATAATATTCCGAGATTGCGCTGTGACTTTGGGGACGTGGCAGGAATCTAACTTGTTCTGGTACAAATCCATAACGAGACTATTTTGAGGTCGAGCACACTCGACCTCGGTATGCATCATGCTCTGCGTTCGAACTCGGGTTTGGTCCTTCGAGCTCGACTTGGTCTTACTTGGACTAGGAATTCGGACGACCTCTCAAGTATATAGATCGAAGGCATTCGATCTCGACCGTATACACACTCCAAAAAGTAGCAAGGTTTTAATCTTAAAGAGGTAAGATTCATACTCAATACTTTAATACAAGTATGAGATGGTATTTAGGGAGTATTATGAAGTAAGGGCAACCCTTTAACTAAAGAATAATACTATTTCTTGAAATGTGTAATTGTGAACTAGGTTTTCTAACAAATAAGAAGATGAATAATGCTAGATTGAGTTGAATGGTGTAGTTTGGAGTTTCTAGTAAATGGCTTAGAGATTCATAATACTTAAAATGGAGGAACTAGGATTGAAATACCATAAATAGAACCCCACATGAGAGAATGAATATTTTCATTACTTAGACTGGAACTATCAAAGTTTGAATGAGAAGTTGGTAACCATCGGTTGGTGGATAGTAATCGCACTGACATCGGTTCCTTAGCCTTACGTCGCCCTTCCAAGAAATCTCAAGAAGGCGTCGTGTAACAGTAATTGTACACACACACAGATGGTTCTTTTTATGCTTTATGACTTTATCACATGACTATTATGTATTTGTTGAACTATGAAACTGTAGAGGTTATAGCAAGTATCATTTATAATTCTTGCTTCTTTTACCTCGCCGAGGTTAGTTATGATATTTGTTGAGTACATTGGGTCGATTGTACTTATGCTACACTCTGCACTTAACTGTGTTGATCCAGGTGCCGGGACCAAATCATCAGTAGCGGGGTTGCTATAGAGCTGAGCATCGAGAGACGAGGTAGAGTTGCATTTTCGTCCGCAGTCTTAGCATCTCTTTTCTTATGTACCATTGTCTCTATTTCAGACAATATTGTATTTGGTCCTTTCACACTTGTATTTCTATATTAGAGCTCATGACTCTGTATTTATCAGTTTTTGGGGAATTTATCATGTATTAGCGGTATTGTGCTATATTATATTTCAAGCTCATGTTATTTTTGTCTTTTTTGCTTTTATGGTTTATTGTTGTTATGCCCGACTTGCCTAGCAAGTGTGTTAAATGCCATCATGACTGGTTGGGTTTCGGATCGTGACAACGTTGATAGATATCCTTTTCTCTCATTTTAACAAACTAAGTACTGATAAACAATTTCTTACTAAACACACCAACTACTTACTATCAATTTCATGTTACACAAATTCAGATGTTTATTTAATAAATAAAAATCAATTTCAGCCCTTGCTGCTAATCAACTAGTTTTAATCAACTAAACCAAACGAGCTCTAAATCAAGTAAACAATCCAATTTACCATTTTGATTTAGATGAAAGATGTAGCTTTAAGTTTATAAATGAGCTTAATGATTAGCTATTTTATATTAAATCTAAATATTTTCCATTTCATAAGAAGTAACTAATCCATTTATAACTTTTCTTTAATAATTAATCGCTTTCTGGTTATATTTACCGTTGAGTACCACCATCTTCATGTTATATTAATCCATTGCTCTTGCCAATCAAATCTAGATTTCCATATCTAAATAAACCTAGTATACGAGAATAAGTGGCGACTGTAGCTTCAATCTCCTTCACTATTTTAATATGGTAAGATTGCATAGGGACGTGGATTACTTCTCACTCCATTATACATTAAGTTTAAGCCATCTACATTCCTAAACTCGATACTACAACATATCCTAACAATTATAGATATCACTTTCCAGATACACTTTTATACACATTCTACTATATGATGTACTGCTACTCTACTCAATGTCTTAACCAGGGAGGTTCGAGTTTAAACTATGTAAAAGAACAAGATAGTCAATTCGGTAGTCCAGCACAGTATAAATACACCAGAAATACGAGAATATAGACTGCTGGCCTGGCAGTTCCAGAAGATGATATCTCTTGCTCTTGCCTAAGCACGCTCAACCTTCAGACGTTTCTTCTTCATGCAAGAATAACTCATCCGGGGGAGCATTTCATCTACCAAAGTGCCGTGCTGATGCTGAAGGTCGTGTTTTCAGCCTACTAGAGATATATGCCAACAACTTCACCTATTTGATCCAGGACGGTGGATCTTAGCTTTGGTAGCATCCTGCATAGTTGAAACATCAAATTGAGCTTAACAAATAGACGAATTAAAATAGATAAAAGAAAGGACTCTCCCACTCCAGTCGCATAGAAGACCTTAGGCATGATGGGTGATTGGGCCTCAGACACATTGTATGTTGCCGCCTATACAATAGCCGCAAAAAGTGAAATTTGTCCGACGGTTTTAATATACCTTCCTATACCAAGTTATATATGATTTGTTATACAGCTAGGACAATGCAAGAGTTCCTAGTAGCAGTTCCATTTAACTAATTTGCTTGTCAATGGTGAAATCAGTGTTGTCAGAGGCGCGCTTAAGCCCTGAAGCA